AGAATGACCTTATTTAAAAATGTATGAGGCTATTTATAATTGACTCTGTGGCAGTGATTAAAGAGGTGTGAATAATAGGTTATTGGACGTTGACAGCTCCTTGTTTGCTAGACTGCTGTTAGAACAGTTATGCTGCTCAATCTTACCTCATTTATTCTGAGGTGATATCTGCATTGTGACATGTGCATAGTAAGTTTATGTATTCCTGGAAGGGGGTTGAATTTGGGGTTAGTGAATTTTATTTTATATTAAAATGACTATTTCAGTGTCAGTTTTCATTTATGGGTCTAATGATAGTGTGTTGGTACTTATTCTAATTTTGCCTTTATCTACAAATTAGTAAGTAAATGTGAAATTTGCCCTTGAAATATACTTGATTTGGAATATCTAACGATATATCTGTACCACAATACTTTCACTCTGAAATACTGATTATTTGGCTCTTTTTTCCTGACCAAAATAAAATTGTTAATCCAATTTCCTATCAATAAAGAGGAATTGTAATAGCAAAATAACCAGAAAGCAGTGAATTACTAGATTTGGTACTACTTTCTTTTTTCCTTCTCTATTAACTGAAAGTACTGTATATATTCAAGTATAAGCCCCTTTTTAGGCTGAGAAAGTTCCCCTCGGCTTATACTTGAGTCAAGATTATTTATTATTTTACTCTGTTATCAGTATTATTTTTATTACATTTATTATTTTACTCTATTATTATTACATTTATTATTTTTATTATTACATTTGTTATTTTACTGTATTGTTTGTTTTTATTACATTTATTATTTTACGCTATTGTTTTTATTACATTTATTATATTACTCTTGATAATTATTATTACATGTATTATTTTACTCTATTATTATTACTACTATTATTAAATTTCAATTATTTTACTCTATTATTATTTTTCTTACATTTATTATTTTACTCTCTATTATTATTGGAAGGATGCATAAGCACATTTAGACAGAACGTTAGAATAATGGTTGAATCAGGGTTGGACAGTCTTATCTTAAATTACAGTTTTATATAAATATTCAAAAACATTCAACCTACTGATACCTCAATTAATGTAATTTTATTGGTATCTATTTTTATTTTGAAATTTACTAATAGCTGATGCATTTCTCACCCTTGGCATATACTCGAGTCAATATGTTTTCCCAGTTTTTTGTGGTAAAATTAGGTGCCTCAGCTTATATTCAGGTCAGCTTATACTCGAGTATATACTGTAATCTTTCATGTTCCTCTGAGCCAATTATCTTCCTTGCTTGAGATTAAAGCAAAAAAGTGACCTCCAAAATGCTGGTTTCATTACACATAGGTGGGTGTACATCTGACCACTGTAGCACCGCTTCTGGTGTTCTGTAATGACTGCTCAAAAAATACAGCAACTCTTGTTCTCTTCTTCGCTATGGTGGAAAAAGCAATGGGGATCCGTGCTTCTTTTAGTTTACCAGGACGGACTAAGTTCCTCTCCTGGGCTGCTCAGAGTAGGGAGGAAACATCTTACTTGCAAATACGCAAGTGGAGTATCAGTCTTCCCCCTCTTTTGTTCGGGCCATGTCCTGTCTCACCTGTTGCAGGTACTGTGGCAGCTGCTACCATTTCCTACTCTGCCAGCAAAGCTCAATGCTTACATTCCTGTTCCGGCTACTTCTCTTGTGGAAGCTGTGCACTCCTGTCCTCCAGCTTTTGGCCTGCCAGTGACATTGTATGGCTGCTCCAGAGCCACCAATACAGGACATGGTGGCTGCAATCACTAGGCCTTGGGCCTGCTGTTGCTCTCCGGTTGCATGAGAGCCAGTAAAGGAGTTGGAATAGGAGCTTTGGCCTTGATGGCCAAGGAGGTGACAGCCGCAGAAGGACAGAATTGGGTGAGACAGAACACAGTTTCAGCAAAGGGGTGATATTGCACTTGTGAGTAAGCCACGACTTCAGACTGTAATTCATGTGTCAAAGTTTGTTGTGATTTGAATGGCAACAAGATCTAACATATAAAATCTGCACTCTGTATGAATAAACTATTTTGACACTCTAGAGCAGTGGTTCTCAACCTGGGGTCCCCAGATATTTTTGGCCTTCAACTCCCAGAAATCCTAACAGCTGGTAAACTGGCTGGGATTTCTGGGAGTTGTAGGCCAAAAATATGGGGACCCCAGGTTGAGAACCACTGCTCTAGAGACACGTTGTGAAACTATTTTGATATGTGGACTTTGTATTAATATACACTAAGGCCACCCAAATGTACTAGTGTTTCCAGAAGACTATCATATAGACCAGGGGCCCTCAAACTTTTTAATCAGAGAGCCAGGTTACTGTCCCTCAAACTGCTGGAGGGCTGTATTATAATTTGAAAAAAACATGAATGAATTCCTATGCACACTGCACATATCTTATTTGGAGTGCAAAAAAACATTTAAAAACAATACAATAATTAAAATGAAGAACAATGTTAACAAATATAAACTTATTAGTATTTCAATGGGAAGTGTGGGACTGCTTTTGGCTGATGAGATAGGATTGTTGTTGTGTGCTTTCAAGTCATTTCAGACGCTGGTTGACCCTGAGCGAGGGCCGGGTAAATGACCGTGGAGGGCTGTATCTGGCCCTCGGGCCTTAGTTTGAGGACCCCTGATATAGACCTTATGATGCAAAATGAATGGCTAGATAGTTTCATGGTGATCTTTAGAGATACAGCTACCTTTGTTTTCTTTACAGCTCCAACAGGCAAGCTTGGTTCATGTTGGGTACCCTCTAGCTTTATCTAGTTGTGCACATACTGGCAGATAGTTTCTGAAGAAATCTGCAATAAAGGTACAAAAAGGGCTGACATATTTTGTTTTTTATATATATGAGTATGTTTACTTGAAGACTTGAATATTAGAATACTGTTGATATTGCCATATTAGAAATCATTGTCATAAATGAGTTCAGAATATTAAACGAATGGCAGTACATATTGAATGGTGCTTGTATTTTAAATTGATGGGTAACCTGATGCTTTACAAATTTAAAAGAGGCCTGTCCTGTAACTTCCAAGCTGCAGTGTGTGTGGAGACAGTATACAGCCCTTCATTTCTAAAATTATTTCACCTACTCTTCATAGTCCTTTTGGAAAGCCTTTCTGCTTTCTTCGTTTATCATATCTCTATAGAAATACTCCAAAATCCACCATATAGGACAACATTCCCATGTGCTACATACACACTTTTAAGGACAATCTGCCTAGTGCTATCCTGGTACAAGGAAATTGGTCACCACTCAACCAATTGTAGAATTCTACATTTCTTTGTTGTAACATGTAGAATGATGGTATATGTACATAGTTTATAGAAGCTGCTATCAGTGTTTTTGTGTAATACTGTTTTTTTTAAGATAGATTAGTGATACTAGCATGCCTAGAGTTGAAGCTGGTCTTTTCCCCAGGCTGTGTCGGTGCACTTATTAGCAGTCTCACTTGTACAAGTTGTTGTTGTTGTTGTTCATTCGTTCAGTCGTTTCCGACTCTTCATGACCTCATGGACCAGCCCACACCAGAGCTCCCTGTTGACCATCACCACCCCCAGCTCCTTCAAGGTCAATCCAGTCACTTCAAGGATGCCATCCATCCATCTTGCCCTTGGTCGGCCCCTCTTCCTTTTTCCTTCCATTTTCCCAACATAATTGTCTTCTCTAAGCTTTCCTTTCTTCTCATGAAGTGGCCAAAGTACTTCATCTTGGCCTCTACTATCCTTCTGTCCAATGAGCAGTCGGGCTTTATTTCCTGAAGTATGGTCTTGTATCTTCTTGCTGTCCAAGGCACTCTCAGAACTTTCCTCCAGCACCACAGTTCAAAAGCATCTATCTTCCTTCGCTCAGCCTTCCCTATGGTCCAGCTCTCACATCCATAGGTGACTATGGAGAATACCATTGCTTTAACTTGTACAAGTATTTGTAAGCAAATATTCCACCAATCTATCTAGGAATAGTAACTGAGTAATTTTGATTTCTGCTTCCACTATTTGGGTAATTGTGAATCGTATGCAGCAAGTAGTTCTAATCCAGTGGTTCCCAACATTATTGTGACCAGGGACCACTTTGACCAGGGACCTCTCTCCAACATTAGTATCAAAAGGGTTACAAATCGGGTTTTGGTCATTTTTAGATTCAGTTTGGTTATTTGGGATGCTGATTCAGAAAATTTCATTGGCTAGAACACATCAGGTGTAGTTTCTGAAACAGAACATTTGCCATCCAGTAGTCGCCATCTGCTCGCCCACAGAAAAACATATTTAATTATCTAGAGCTGATATGGTAGTAGTAATCTTTCGTGGGTAGTCAGGCTTTCCCCTCCCGACATCACCATTGCCTTGGCACTATAAGAGGGTTTCACGAGACCAGGTGCTCTCATTGCCACGTGGTTTTGAGGCAACGCTATAGCAATGACGAAAATAAAGTGGGGGAAAAATAACGGGGCATAAATTAATATAATAATAATAATAATAATAATAATAATAATAATAATTGGTTTTTCTCCATTGGAGCTTCTATGGACAGAGTTATCAGATTGGAATAACAAATAAGCATCCTTTCCTGTAGTTTTATGGTAAAAGATTGCAGGGACAGTGTCTTGTGAGGAATATAGCAAAGGAAAGTATTGCTACTCATCTAGTCAATGTTCCTGGAATGAAAGAGAAATCATATGGAACTCTAATGAGAAATAATTCCAGAATTGGGATTAGTCAGATTTTACAAGATGTTTCTATAACGCTTAGCTGTTCTGAAAAAATATAAATGGCTGCAGATTTTGTTTTCAGTGCATTTCAATACGGCCTTGGAACATGAAGTAATTAAGGAATTAGTTAAAGTGAACATAACTTAAAGGCTTCTCTTCTTTCATTAATAACTTTAACATACTACCAAATGTCTAGAATTGGTATTTGGTACTCTTACTATAAATTAACCACTGTTGAATAGCATAGGTTCATTTATCTTTCTTCCTTGTATCTCTACAGTTACCAATTACAACAACATCGTAGAAACAAATTCAGATTCAGATGATGAAGACAAATTGCACATTGTTGAAGAGGAAAGTATAACAGATGCAGCAGATTGTGATAACAGCGTGCCAGACGATGACTTGCCAAAAGACCCTACAGTATTACCAGAATGCAGTGAAAGTGCAAACAGTTGCTGGGAAGATGACGGTATGTGTCAAGGTATGTGCCTTTACCTTATGTTATACCTATTTTTTAAAAATGTATTGCATTGAAATGATTGCTTTTATTCCATATTAAAAATGAGGAAAAGGAAATTGCTGTGATTAATAAATTGAAAACCAGTCATTTAACACCCTAGTTCAAACAGCACTTCATCCATCCCATATCACTTGTGACGAAAATTAACACAGCAGGAGATAAGTTACCATCACATAGAACAGGTGAACTATGAATTCCCCAGGTTAAGAATTTGAGGTGTACCTCACTGTGGAAAACTACAAAATGCATTTTGTAGATAAGTGAATGGGGAACAAATGAGAAAGGGACAGGCGGCATTTCAAGTGACAAAGTACAAGGTGGCCACTATAGATGGTGAAATGAACAATTTTGGGTTTCCACAATCCCAAAATTTTGATCTGTATTTGTATCAGTTGGTGAACATGACAAATTCATCCAAATAGGCTGCGTCATAGTTTGATTATTATTTCTCTGAACATTTCTCAAATACAAGTAGACCTCGCTTAACAAAGTAGACATGTTTCTGTGCATTTGGTAGAAGAGGCAGGGATAAAATGGAAAGAAAAGAGGTAAATTTATCCACAGCAAAATAAGAAGAGATGTTCAAATGCTACAGCAAACCTTTTATACAAAACTAAGTAAAAACATGAACATATGAAATGGTCTGATTAGTATGGCAGGATTTAAAAAGACTTTGGGAAAAGGAGCTTTACCTTCAGATGCATTAACTAAGGTACCTTCCCCCCCCCCCCCTCCAAAAAAAAAAAACTTTTCCTACTATCCACACTTTTGCAACCATTTTTCCTTGGTACAAGTTATTTATAATTTCACATACAAGTTTTATGCAGACTGTTCCTTAAAGTTCATACTTTTGAGTTGTGAACTGCAGAATGCTGAAAAGTCTGGATTTATTTATTTATTTGAAATTTATTCCAATTCCTTTTAGGTTTTTCAAGTCCAAATTTAGTGAGTTTGAACAAAAGGCAAACTTGATGAGTTGCTCCTATGTCTCTGTGAATTGATTGGTGGCTCAGTGTGAAAAATAGGCTGGACAGCTTCATTCCAGCAAAAAAGAAAACAGGTCTCACAAGGCAAGTTCTGCAGTTTGACTGCCTTGTGGCAACAAAATGGAAAGGGCTACTCATCTGGAACCTATGCATCCCATACCTCAGGAGGAGAAGGAAGAAAGTCTTGTCCAGATTTCAGTAAATTCCTCGTATGTTACATCCAGGACTCCTAGTCATATGGGCTGAGTACTGAAAGAGATATATGTGGAGCTTATGGCATAGTATAAAGGGGTCCCTAGTTCGGTTCCATAGAATTGTATCCAATTATATGCAAACACGCCTATACAACAAGCGGGGAGTGCACTCCTGTAACTGCATTCGGGTATTGATTCATGGAACTGGTGGATAGAATAAGGGTCCTTGAGTTCTGGCGCTTCCCCCTCATTCTTGCCAAAGCTCAAAATAAAAACAAAAAAAGACCACACGCACAATGCAGATCCTACAAAAAGGTGTACAAATGCCCTGTCCAGCACTGTCGTGTTGATAAAACTACACCTGTTTGTCTCCCGGCAGTTAGCATACGAACATCAAAAGAAGAAAAAAAACGATACATTCTGGTAGAAAAAACGATACAGACTGCTAGACTTAGAAGATGCTACCACATAGCTATTTTCTATTCCATTTTTCTCTAGTCTCTGTGGGCAATGTTCTCACAGTGACTCACATTTGTACTCACATTAGAAAGGTATTGCAATCTCTGCCAAAGCGTGTGAAGTCACCTGTTTAGGGAGATGATTGCATCATAAGGGCTAGACTAATTTATCTATACAGAGAGAATGATGCTGTTTCATTCTACAGCCAGGTATTTCATTTTGATCCCGCAGATTAAAATATATTGCAAATGTTTGGTCAGTTTTGTTTAACAATATATTTTTATCAAGGACAAGAAGACAAGGTCTGGTTTCTTCAGTGGCAGTTTTTTTCAATTAGGCCACCTGTTTACTTGTTTGATTTTTATATTGCTGCAGGAGCCAGAATTGTTTCTAAAGAAGCCTAGAACTAAGCTCCTTTATTACTATGCAATGCCCCTGGCATCTATTAGTTTACCCATTCTGTTGATGGTATTCTAACAGCATAATACATGTGCCAGATATCCTGCAGCTAATACAGTGGCACTGTTTTGCCAGAGGTTATTCACTGTGCCAACATGTCATCTTATTCTGTCAGTTCATGGGGATTTATTCGGAATCCCATCTTCATTCATTCAGCCAATGTATTTTGAAGACAGCATTGAACTGTCATAGAATCTCAGATACAAATTCTGTGTAGGAATTATCCCTTCAAACCTTTATTTTCTAAAACCCAGATTTCAGGATGTGGGTAATAAAACTACTCAAAATATTGAAGACTGCATGTGTTTTTCAATCAGTCAATAGCCTTTTTTCGGTCAACAAACCATCAGCTGAAGTCAAGTGAGAATAGAATGGTGGAATACAACATTTGAATAATTAATAACATAGCATTTGGCTTATAATTAATGATTATAATTAATAATTAGTAAGAACATCACCCCTAGCCTTGTCTTATTCAACTGCTAAATATGCCTGCCCTGTTTGGCATAAGTCTGCCCATGCAAAGCAGGTGAACATAGCATTGAATGAAACATGCAGAATAATCACAGGATGTCTTAAACCTACACCTGTTGATAAACTCTACAAGCTAGCTGGCATTGCCCCCCCCCCCGATGTGCGATGAAAAGTTGCTGATAAATGTGAGAGAAATAAGATTGAACACTGTGAAAGCCATCCACTACATGTCTACCAGCCTCCTCCCAGTAGACTCAAATCAAGGAAAAGCTTTATGAGAACTACCATTCTTCTTTCCCCCCAGCAAAAGCAAGGGTATCCCTCTGGGCAGCTAAACCAGGAAATCCCAACTGGATGGCCCCCCATGAGGGTCTTCCTCCAGGGGCAAACCAAGAATGGGCAACTTGGAAGTCCCTGAACAGACTCAGAAATGGAGTGGGCAGATCAAAAGACAACCTGGCAAAATGGCACTACCTAAAAGAATCCCACACCTTGTGTGACTGTGGAGCAGAACAGACAACTCTGCATCTGTATGCTTGTCCACTATGCCCTGCCTCATGTACAGAGGAAGAATTGTTGGAGGCTACAGACAATGCCATTGCTGTTGCCCGTTTTTGGTCAAAAGATATTTAGCCCAGCCGCCTGCGCTTCTTCTATTTTTATCAATTTTATACTAATTTATGCAATGCTTTAGATACGAAATAAATAAAAAAATAAAAAATGATAACCAATATCTTCATTCTCCATTGTGATTTTGTAATTCAGATGTTGTCTACCTGCTTGTCAAGAGCCATGTCATTTCTGATGTGATTCTTGTTGGAATGAAAAGAATGATAAAAGTCAATATTTAAATCCTTTCAAATAGCCATGCCTTAGTTAACAAAACCTGTGAAAAGGTACTTTTATTGCTACCCATTACCCACTTTTCTTCTAAGTACTCTGTCTCTAGCTGGACTGTTTTTAGCTGCATCGATCATAAGCAGATATTGAAGAAATTATGTAAAAACACAAACTAATGATTGCGATTACAGCAGTCTTACCAGCTACCCCCCAGCATATTTTTAAAAATAAAGATATATTTTATATGTTTGTCCACCAAATGGAAATTATAAGTAAAATGGAGGCTGGTAAAAGAAAAAATAATCTCTAGATGTATTTTGGAAGAAGATTTCAAATGAACTTTATTTATTGTTCCAACAGGCTTTTGGGGAAGGGTAAAGGGAGGATCTTTGAGTGTGGGTGAGATTGAGCGATGATAAAGAGTTTTAAAGGCCATTTTAATGTATTTGCTGTATTTTAGTTCTGTTTTTACCACACTGTTACTATTTAATTGATTGTTTGTTTTTTAACTTTTGTATTGCTGTTTTTAAACTGTTAAGTGTGGATAGATGTTAGCTGCCTTCAGTCCCTATGGGGAGAAAGGTGGGATATAAATAAAGATAATAATAATAATAATGTCCTTTATTCATATGCTGGCTTTCTCCTGAAGTGGGACCCACTTCATTGTGTTTTGTAATTTAATACAATTAAAAACAGTATGAAATTATTTGGGGGAAAAGATACAAAAGGTAAAAACACACTAATAACATGGAACTTTTTAATTTTTTGGCAGCTCGGGGAGTTTTATCACTTAACCATACTTTTTCATAGTTGTTTTTAAGTATTTATTTATTTTATTTATTTATCGTCTCAGGAGCAACCAGACAGTTGTATTACATTTTTAACAAAACAAACAAACAGACAAACAAAACACAAAGTTTGCAAGCTTGGTAGTTTCTATTAAATGTCCTTTAACCAGTAGCTGGCCACTTGGAGTGCCTCTGGTGTTACTGCAAGAAGGTCCTCCATTCTGCATGTGGCAGGGCTCAGGTTGCATTGCAGAAGGTTGTCTGTGGTTTGCTCTTCTCCACACTCGCATATTATGGATTCCACTTTGTAGCCCCATTTCTTAAGGTTGGCTCTGCATCTCGTGGTGCCAGAGCACAGTCTGTTCAGCCTTCCAAGTCGCCCAGTTTTCTGTGTGCCCAGGGGGGAGTCTCTCATTTGGTATCAGCCATTGATTGAAGTTCTGGGTTTGAGCCTGCCACTTTTGGACTCTCGCTTGCTGGGGTGTTCCAGCGAGTGTCTCTGTAGATCTTAGAAAACTATTTCTTGATTTAAGCTGGCTGATACCCAAACAAGGGATGAGCTGGAGATGTCACTGCCTTGGTCCTTTCACGGATGTCAGGTGGTGCAATACCGGCTAAGCAGTGTAATTTCTCCAGTGGTGTAGGGCACAGACACCCCGTGATAATGCGGCATGTCTCATTAAGAGCCACATCCACTGTTTTAGTGTGGTGAGATGTGTTCCACACTGGGTATGCGTACTCAGCAGCAGAGTAGCATAGCGCAAGGGCAGATGTCTTCACTGTGTCTGGTTGTGATCCCCAGGCTGTGCTAGTCAGCTTTCATATGATATTGTTTCTAGTGCCCACTTTTTGCTTGATATTCAGGCAGTGCTTCTTGTAGGTCAGAGAATGGTCCAGGGTAACTCCCAGGTTTTTGGGTGTACTGCAATGCTCCAGTGGGATTCCTTCCCAGGTAATCCTCAGAGCTCGAGATGCTTGTCTTAGATGGATTCGGAATCAGCTAGTTGTTTCATTTCACTTGGTCATATTGTTAGTTTTGAATTAGAAATTTAGCTGAAACATGTGGAACTGTTCCTCTTTTTTGTGATGTAGGTATTGATCCTTATTCTTTCCATGTTATGTCTACATCTGGTATCCAGTTTTCTGTAAAGAAGTAATGTTCAGGAACACATCCACTACATTTACTGAGGAGTATTTGTCCCTAGTTTACATTGCCATCGCCATGATTATCTCGATGTATATCTCAATTCAGCCCACCCATCCCCCTTCAGATTATTTTGTGGTTGAAAAAAGGGTGAGAGCGGCTGTGGGAAACAAGCTGAATGAATTACTGATGTCATCTAGTCACAATGTAAAATTCCATGAATGAGGCAGAGTGATTGCATATTAGAACCCTAGGTGTGGAGGGGCATTTATTTCCACTTTAAAATACATATTTGCAATTGTCTGCAGGTCAGCGAGATAAGAGGGCATTATCTATGTATTTGAGGCATATATATTTATACTGTATATATCTCAGGACAACTTTCACTGGTGAAGTTGAATTTTGTTTGAATAATTTGACCTTAAACAACAGCTCTTTTAATAAAAGTGCTCATCTAGTAGCTAGGTCATTTTCCAGGGAAGAAAGTAGAATTTCTGAAATGTGGATGTTGCCCGGGAATAGTTTCACATCCTCTAGTGTCATGTTCAGGTTTGTGCTTAAACTTAATTTAATTTCCAGTCATATGTTTAAGGCCAAGGCTATTTACAGAGGTATGCTGTGAATTTTTAGGGGTTGTCATGCAAATGGCATCAGCAACCTTTCCAAGGCCTTTTCCATAGTCATCCCTGCCCTCTAGTATGCTTTTTCTGCCTTTGGTGGTCAAACAAGCAATTTTTAAAAATATATACACCAGTAAGAATAGTGGATTAGTGAGTGGAATCTCACATATTATTCTATTCTCCATGTCTACTTACTTATGATTTACAGGATTCCAGATTTCAGCTGCCTTGAAAACCTCTTTGTTTTTGGGTTTGTTTGTTTTTTAATTATAGGATGACATATAACATGAATAAGCAATGCTTATTATTGAGAGGTGGAGTATAGGTATTAGGGCTGGGCGGTTTCGTTTCGTTAATTCGTAATTCGTTAAAAATTCGTTATTTTTTTGTTAACGAAGCGATAACGAACCATTCTGGAGCAGCTTAAAAACGAAACGAATTTTTCAATTCGTTTCGTAAATGCTTCGTATTTCGTTATGTATTCGTTTCGTTATTGGTTTGAGGTCGTTTCGTTATTATTTCCGCATGTCTGGGGCAAGTTTTATAGTTGTTTTTTGTTTAATTAGTGAAAAAAAATATAATATCACACCAACAGTCAACAACAGAGGGAGAGGGAAGCTTCAGAAGTTCCCCCTGTCCCATTTGGAGGTTTTTTAGCGTATTGCGCGGTCGCGTCCGCCATTAACGAATCGATTCGTTATTGTTTCGAATTTTTTAACATTTACGAAATTTTGTAAATATCGAACTTTTTAAAAGAAAAATTTCGGAATTCTTTTAAATATCGAAACGCAAAAAACCCCAAAAAACGAATCGATTTTAGAAACAAATTTTTCCGTTGTTACCCAGGCCTAATAGGTATCTATAGTCAGTGCAGGGTTGGTATTCAACATGCAGTAGATTTTTTTCAGATTACTACCAGCATTACTTAGAATTCAGTTTTGATAATTATATTTTATAAAAATGTTGATTATGGTTATTAAATTTATTAGCATGTATAAAGGTAAAGGTTTCCCCATGACATTAAGTCCAGTTGTGTCTGACTCTGAGGAGTGGTTCTCATCTCCATTTCTAAGCCGAAGAACTGGCGTTGTCCATAGACACCTCCTAGGTCATGTAACCGACATGACTGCATGGAGCTCCAGAGCAGTACCTATTGATCTACTCACATTTGCATGTTTTCAAACTGCTAGGTTGGCAGAAGCTGGGGATAACAGCGGGAGCTGACTTGACTTGCCAGATTCAATCCACCAACCTTTCAGTCAGTGAGTTCAGCAGCTCAGCGGTTCAGTCCGCTACCTCCTAGCATGTATATTGCATACTTAACTATATTTGGGTCCTGTCCTTCATTCAGTATTTTCCACATTTTCCTTTAGTTCCTTGGCTTTAAGATAATTAGAAATCATACACAATTTTTTGTTATTGCACTAAATACATACATTTAGTAATCTGAAAATTTCCCAGCGCAGTACCTGTTTTCCCTAATACGAGCAAAATGTGTATAAACAGCATACATGTTATTCATGCTAAAGAGGTATACAGTGTAGAGCATCTTATAATTAAATAGGCAAGAGAACTATTCTATTCATCTCTTTCCCCTGTCTTCAAATAATACAGTTGGTTGGCTCTATAAAAGTGCTCACTAGACTGAGGGTCTCTTTCCAGTAGGATTTGACAGGGAATGCTAAGCAGTGCTTTGCTGCTGCCTTATGCAATAGTCTGGTGAATGAGCCAAGGCCATGGGGTTAGTGGCAACCACCATTCTTATTGTTTGCTTTCTATTAAAATAGCAAAATCTTGTGTTTCTAAAAGCAGGATGACCGAAAACTTCTGCTCACATGATGATCATGGGCATCCACAGTGTTGCTGCTTCTGAGGGAGTAATTTTGATTTCATGAGTCTAAAATGATTCAGAAAGAGTTTCTGAATTTTGCAAAGGTTTTATCTTTTCTTCTGTTGCATTTTAGGTAGCAAAGAAGCAAAAGAAATCCTGGGGCCTGAAGCTCAAGCTGATGAATCTGCATGTGCAGGTATTTTTTTCCCAAATGCCTTCATTTCTGTTTGTGATACCAGCATATCCTTGAGCTTTGCATCATTACTTGAGAAGGAAATTCCTTGAGAACGGAAGGAATTCTTCCTTTCGATCTCCTTTCATCTGTCTTCCTATCCGATGGTGTGGCTGTGCACGCTGCACTTAAGGTTTAAGCTGCAGAAATACTGCTATTGAGGATGCTCAGCTTAGGCTCCCATTAGAGCAGTTTTGAGGCGTTGCTAATAAATTATGCAATGCAATCCCTTCTCCTCATTGCTATAACTCTGCAGTCTCTTAGCTGCTTTTTTGGTTCAAGGAGCAAGTGCGCTATATGAACAGTTTATTTCTGGTCTGCTGCAGATAACAACAGAGCACTGAGTAGCTGAGGTAATATTAGCTATAGTGTTTTAATATTACATTTTAAGCTCAACAGTGTTCATAAAATTGGCTTACATAATCAACCACCCTAATACAGGACAGGTTTATTTAAACAATAGCTCTTTTAATATGTATTCATATGGAAAATAATGAATCATTCCATAATTTTTAAACTATCTCTATATCATAATATCATAAAAGACGGCTTTATACATGGACCTCACCAGACGGTCAACACCGAAATCAGATTGACTACATCCTTTGC